CGGCAAGCAATGGATTCAGATAAAATGAAAAAGAATTGTAATTTGATTAAATTAATGGAAAAATACAGACGAATGGGAACTTGAATGAAGTGATAGTAGCCAGTTGATATGGTGAGGTATGACAAAGCGATGCTGACGTAGAAATGAAATTGGGTAGACCCGATTCAAATTACCTAGCCGATACAGCAGGCAATAGTGCAAGTAGACTTTGAGTGAAAAGTAGTAAAGGAAGTATAAAACTATAGTGGTTGTAAAGCAATCAGGAGACGATATGAAATGTTTTATAAGAATTATATCCATGAAAGATATTTCGCCCAAATATGGAAGATTGCTGCTAAATGTAAATATCAAGGCTTAGATAATGTTTCATTTCGTGGCTAGATTGCTATGCTGTAGGCATACAGTAGAAAGCTTCGAATAATTTTGTTCATAGGCATCAGAAGCCAGAGAATTATCAAATAATACACCAAACATTTAAATGGGCCGAAGCTTTATATGGTTGTAACCCTGCTCCTCTGACATTCTTCTGATGTAAATACAAAGAAGCCTTTATTAATGGTGGAATGGGAAATTTAAATTCTGAATAAATAGTTACACAAACCCACTTGAGTCATCTGTTGTAGAAGAGTAGCGGTATCATCCAACGGACAGTCTTCTGTCTCTTCAGTATCGCTACTTTCATTCTTGTCATCAGAGTAGCCATCAAAGTTATCGAGCCCTCTAGGGCTGCCAAACGAGAGTATCGGGTTAGCGCCACTGCCAACTTGCCGGGCAAGTTGAACAGACTTGCCTAATATGCCGGGCTCACCACGTTCATTACGACGGCGCCGGCCACCGAGGCGACGGCTCCTACCCGAGCCACTCACAGGCTGATCGGAATAGGAAGAGACGGATGCGAGACAAGTCTGCACAAAGGCGCAGATTACGTCTGGTGTATGAACATCGAGCTGATGTGGCGAATCAGGTCGATAGTATGGGATTCCTGCCACTAGGCGCTGCCATAAAGTAAGGAGGTAATGTACACTGTTCGTATTGGTTGTCTGGCAGGCCTAAAAATAAATCGAATAAGAGAGCAAAGGAGACAAAAAAGGTTCATATAATTATAAATCCAAGTACGAACAAAACCAAGTAGGTATCTAATCGATACAAATGAAGCTAGCGCAATCATTTACTGGCTCGAGCATATGAAAACATGAAGTTTAAGCTGAGAAAGACTTGACTTGGGTGGTACGTTGATTTTCAGTCAGTCCGAACTTTATACTAACCCAATCAGTGGTAGCTTAAAAAATCGTAAGACA